TTGTGGTGTGAGATCAGAAGTCAACTACCGGCTTATAGACGTTACCCAGGGTGTGCCACGTGGAGGTAAGTCTATCACACACCTCTCGACTTAACCATGGGACCGGTTTGTGTGGTCAGTATCTTCTCTACAAGTCTGTTGACTTTGAGCTAACAGATGATCCGAATTGTAAATGGTTAGGAGGAATAATTAGTCGTTTTTGCATTAAAATTACTTTTAGTAGTCTTATTCTTTTAGTCAGCCAAATGAAAAACCCCTGTATAGATTAATAGGCAGTGTCCTATATTTGATTCTCCTTCTCTTGGTTAAAGCACTATCAGAGAAAATCAATTGAAATGTAGTCACATCTAAGCAGCCATTGAAATTTCACTGAATTATATTCCATTGAAGTTGATTTACTGTTTTCAATTTCAATTTATTTGCCAGTTTGAGTTTTCTATTCTCAGCGTTTATCAATATTACCGACTTACATTATTCGTACTAGAGGTTCATTATAGCTTGATGTCGCATTAGACAAAGAACGTAACTTAAACGAAGAACTATTTGTTTGCTATGGCTCGACCATAAAGATAGTTAAAAAGTGACAAATCAGCTACGACTTTCTATAGTGACTCTAGATAAATGGCTTTTCATCCTCTGTTGAAGGATATCAACCACTTCACCTGAATTGTTCCTTTAATTCATTAATTGAAATGGTGTCCTGCAGATCAACTTCTGTGGCAATTAAATTTTAAAATAAAACGAAGCATAATGTCTACAACTTTATCTAAGTGAGTCAGCAAGTCTTCGGTCTAGACTCTACTTAAGCGTTATGATTATGAAAACACTTTGTTACAAGTTAGCTAAGGGAATTTATGAAGAGTGGGTGGAAAATGAGGGAAAGATTATTTATCTGAATATAAAAAGCCTTTGTGAATATCTCCTCACCTACTCAAGGCCACATTTTTCTAGCAGACACCCTACATCTGTCTATTCCTAAGTTATTCCCAAAGAAATTTGACAATTCTGTGTGTCTCAAAAGAATTGATCAACTAGAGATGAGCACTCTTTACCAAATCACAACCAAATCCACGGTAAGGAAATGGAGACAAAAAATTTTCTTTGTCGGAAAATAACTAACAATGGGTAACAATAGAATTCAGTAAAAGCATTCAAATAAATTGTGGGAATAATTTCGTCCTACCTAAGAATCCAGCTAATTTTACTTAATGGGTATTTCCAAGTGTAGTATTCCAGAAAGTAAATTAATTGTGCTCATGTCGGAATGCTATATAAATTGCTTTCTATGATGGTGTGCATCGAACTAACACGCGGCTATATCTCGACCTCATATAATCTAATTAGTCCAATTTCTTTAAGAGAATTATCATTTACAAAACTTTGATGGACATTTGTTGAACTGCCCGTTAGATAAAGTCCACATTCACTCGCACTGAATGTTGACCTTACAGTTTGACCTGATGTCATTAAGAATAATTTCTTTAGCCTAAACA